CGGGGGACGGGGGGGATGACAAACCAGCAAGTCAAAGCTAGAGCATTCAGACTAATGTGCTGCAGCAGTGTGTGTTCATCAGCTTTCTGAAAACGCTGCCCAATTCTCACTTTCCAGCTTTTACTCACTGTCAGGGTTACGTTTCTGGGTGTTTTCCCACCAGTGGCAGCAACAGGAACTGCTGTCTCTCTTCTGTGATCTGGGTATGCTGTAGGGTATCAGGGCCTTTTCTTCCCCAAAAGGAAGAAAGCTAGTGAGCAGCAGAACTGACTCCTGGAACGTTGTTGTAAAAATGAAACTCTGAATGCACGTGCAAATCGGTCACTGCAGGTCTCTTCAGAAGCTGGGAGGAAGAGGGTGGTTAGGCTACACAAGGAGGTTCCCAGTGCTTTTCTTGCCTCAGCCTCACTGGGCAAAGGTGGAAAGGAAAGAGTTGTGCTTCTGAGGAACCGGGTTTCAGGACGCCCACTGTTGGTGGTGAGTGATTTAGGACAGTACAGACCCTGTCTGGCTGCTGGCTCTGCAGCAGAGGAGCGAGCGTGTTTGCTCTTCAGCTGCTGCAGCTCACGTTATGATGGTGTCTAAGGCTGCCAAGGATGAAAAGAGTACTGCCATTTTTGCTGCCCCAGTGCAGGGCAAGAAACCTTTGTCAAAAGGAGGGGACAGCTATTGGGAGGAGTGTCATATACTGGAGATAAGGACTGAGAATTGAAGCCTTGTGATCATCAGCGCTGGTACCTGTGAGTATGTTTTGTGCAGTAAGCAAGCAGAACTGTTGGGAGAAAAGCTTTTAGCCATTTTTGTGTCATTTTTGTGAGTGTAGTGGGTTGCAGCACTGTCCTGTGGTGGGAATGAATCTGTCTGAAGTCTATAGTTGTGTTGTTTGCAGCTTCACAGCTTGTGTCTGTGGTTCAGTCCATTTCTTTCTAGTTCTTGTAATTAAAGGTAGTGTGAATAGTGATTGTGGGGGAGTTGCCAATGTGCTTGACTACATTATTATTACTGGTATTATCTTCACTGGCAAAGATGAAAGTGAATCCCTTTCCCCTGGTTACGTCCTCTTTCATATATTACCTTTGCTGCTTCTGTCATCTTTCTTCCAGATTTAGCTTACTTTTATGAGGTTGCTCAAATGTAGGTTAACCATTTTAGTAAATGTTTTTCAACCAAGCTGAAAAAAAACCCACCATTAATTGTGTGGTCTGATTCTGTCAGAGAAATATGAATCTGATAACCCCTTTGCCAGTATACAGACTCCTGACAGGCACTGGAAAAAATGACAATTCCCCTGGTCCTTGCAATTCCCTGCACAAGCCATGATTCAGCAAGGCAGCCACGTGGGTGATGGTGCAAGAGTGATTACGCCTAGCTGCTAGTGAAAATAAATGAGCAGGCTCCCTTTCCTCTTTGGGGGAGTGAGAGCAGAAAAGGATTTTCAGGGTGTATTTGCACTCTTTTTTTTTTTTAATCTGTCCTCCAGTCATTGCCCATAATGCCAAACCTCCGCAGCAATTTCAAAAGTACTTCCTGACGCTGTGGAAACTTTCCCTGCACAATGAAGACAGGGTAAGGATAAAGGAGATGGGAACTGCTCTTTTCTTCTGCACTCAGCTGTCAGAAAGAGTCTAGCTGTTTGGATTTGAACCCTAACAAAATGATTGATTTTTAACTTCTGATGATGACTGAAGGATCAGAGTTCTGTTTCCTGAAGCGATCTGTTGTGAGTGGAGCTGTTGTAATTTCTTTAAACTATGAATTCAAAGCTGCTGTGCATTGAAATGGTCCCTTGTGCAAAATAGTTTTGGACCTAGCAGTTTATTTTAACACCAGCCTTTGAAACAGCCACCCAGAAATTATACTACTTTATGTTATTAAATAAAACATACCTCGTTAAGTTTTTCCTAAAACCTGAGGTTTTGCTACACCACAGATTTAATGAACTTGAAGGATTTTATTTAACTGCAAATGATGGAGCCGGTCCCTCAGGTGGGAAGCTGATGCCCGACCTCTTTCTGCCACTGCAGTCTGCTCTGTCAGCCCCACATCTTGTCTTCCTCCTGTAGAGCTCCTGGGCTCTACTTCAAGCAAGGTCAAGGATGTTTCTGAACACTTTGAACATGAAACACTGGTCAGAACTGCAGCTCTGAGGGTTCTGTACAGATGCTGTTATGCCAGTTTCTTGAAGTGCCTTATTTTCTTGTGGAATAGATGAGTTTTGGATTTCCATATGCTTGCTTCCAACTTGTTGCTTAACATTTTCTTCTCTTGAGCATGTAAGGTGCGAAGGAATAATTGATTTCAGATCAAGAAGCTGTAATACTGAGTATGGCATGAGCTGACTTGTGCTGTTTGTGTCACCAGGAATTTTTACTATAGCAAGAAATTTATCTAAAATACATATAAACAAAAGTGCATAAATGTTTTGTAAATCTGCAACCTGAATAACATGTTATAGCATTGTCAATTCAGTGACTGAGCTCTCCAAGGGAGCATTCAGGGAATTAGCATGGACTTAGAGGGCCAAGACTGTTCTTGTCCACTTTCAGATGCAAGTTAGTTGTTTATCCTTACATCCTGCTCTTGCTAATATCAGGCAGCTCCAATAACTGCACAGATGGAGGAAATAATAGAGTTTACTTTAGAAAAATACAAAAGGCTACTCATCATGTTGCTTTCTTCACATAGTATATAATTCTGGTATTCAAGTTATGATATGCTTCTTTACCTATGATTTATTTAGCTGTATGATTGTATTTCTTTGTTCAAAAGGAGTGCTTTCTTTTAAATGTCTGTTCCCATTTGGGTAGCTAAGGACCCTGTATCCTACTCTTTTCTGTGATTTGATTAGCATAAGGGAAATGGATTATGGTCCCCTGTACTGCCATCGCTCCAAGCCCAACTTCAATAGGACTCTTGAATACCTTATACCTGATTTGGTGGTTCAGACCAGAGATTTGTATGTCTCAAATTGGTGGCATGCACTTTGTGCAAACAATATGTATTGTTAGAGACGCGTTTGGAAATGCAGTCCCTGTGGGTAGGCTGCTCAGACCGACCTGCTGTTAGATTGCAGGGTTCTTAATTTTTTTCCCCATATTGCAGTGTAGGTAGTGGAAAATACAGAAGATCCTGCAGATAACTTGCAACATCTGAAGGAGCAATCAGTAAGCAAATTTGGAAGATTCTTGGAGGATGGGAATCGCAGTCTGATTCACAACTGCATCAGTGCAGACATGTTCAAGGGTTGTAGGTCTATTTATCACTCTATCATCAGGCAAAGGGCTCGAAGGCAGGTTTGTCTAGGTGGGTGTTGCACAGCTTTGACCACTGTTCCCCATCAGTCTTTAAGTAGGTGGGGCAACCAGCACATGTCCAGTTTTTACTTGCACTGCCAGAACTTTGCTTTGTGCTGCTTGTGCCTCTGAAGGTATTTGTACAGAAATTATATGCTTTCACGGGCATTTATGGTGGTAACTCATTTTAACTCTCTTGAGCTTCATGACATAAACCAGTATGCTCTTGTGCTGCATGAATTCAGGCTGCTAGCCTGCTTTGTTTTTCTTCATTGCAATCTAGCAGTATTCACCCAGTGCAACGATAGGGAACAGCAGTCCACCTGTTTTTAGTTCTTCTGCTAAGACCATGTTGTGCAAGGTGCATGTGTTGTACAGAGATGTTGTATAGCACAATATTTATACTTTGGAAATAAGGTGTGATAATTTAGAGTGGATTGCACTGTCTTATCCTGACTCTCTTGAATGGCACTGATAATGATTGCTCCAGTGGTGTGGCTGGGACTGAGTTGTATTTTGGGCCTATGATGGGCAGCGTCAGCACCGGTAGGCCATTCATTTCCCAAACTGTCATGAGAGGAGGAGGAGGTCAACAGAGAGGAGATGTGTTGACTCCTCTTCCAAAGGGGTAGCTAGCTCATCATTTGAGCACATGGAGGAATGAGGGGTGTATTTGTTATTCAGCTGTCATCGAGAGGTAGTTTCTGTGAATCATTCTTTGTACTATTTACTGTGTAGCATGGAGGCTGCCTGTTTCTTGGTGATCAGAGAAAAATCTCCAGGTTACTATGGGGAGGGAAGAAAGGCCAGTGCAGATTTTCTTGAATGTGGAATGTGTCATGTGGATGCTTTGTTGTGCTGTGTTTTTAGCTTTAGCAGCTATTTGTTCATCATCTCTGTCATGTTTTTGTTAAGGACTCAGAGGATTGTGGTGATAGTATATATTCATTTTACAAATGGAGGAAGTGTGGCACAAAGTGGTAAAGTAATGTAAGTCCTCATTCAGAAGTGGAATGCATCCAGTGGATCTTAGTCCCCATGCTCTTTAATGTAGGCTGCATAAATGTGGACAGTGTGTTGAGTTAGGACTTCTAAACATAAGCTATTCTTCTCTCCCCAAGATCTTGTCTGATGAATGACAAGAAAGAAAACATTTAAAGTTTTTAAAGGTGTTTGATTCTAGAGCACAAAGCTCTTTGGGCTAGAGCTCCCCCTAAAATATGGTGTACTTATGCCCTTATGTGTACTATGCCTTTCATGTACACAACCTTTATGTGAACAGACAGTGAACCAGATCTGGGAACTGGTCCGCATTATAACTGACTGTTCTTTTTGACTGGGTTAGTTTCATCACTGGAAAAGTTTGTCACTCCATGCCACAAATGCTGCTGCTGGCACAAATGAATGGGTGGCCCAGAAGCAGGAGGAGGAAGGGATCTGCTTCCTTTGGCAGAGACATCAGTGTCTGTCAGTGCAGTGCTTGCTGAGTTCCTCAGAGTTGAATTCACACCTCCGTTCCCCGTTGGCCAGCAGAAGAAATGCTACATTTCTGTCTTTTATGCTCCTTTCCTATGTTAAAACAAATATTTCTATTTCAGTGTGTTCACTAGCTATTGAGAACCATGTCTGACAACGGAGAACTGGAAGACAAGCCGCCAGCTCCTCCCGTCCGGATGAGCAGTGCTATCTTCAGTTCAGGGGGCAAAGACCAGTTGTCTGCCAACCACAGCTTGAAACCCCTGCCCTCTGTACCAGAAGAGAGAAAACCTAGGAATAAAATCATCTCCATATTCTCTAGCACTGAAAAAGGTAAGATGCCTCTGTTTTCCAAGGTTACTCCTTTACTGTTCTTACAAGTTTTGGTAGCGCTTTAGACATTTGAGTCCAGGCTGTCCCAAGTGTAGGGGATTGGAGGAAGTGTTGAAAGTTGGGTTGGGTATGTGTGTTCAGTGAATTGAGATGTTCTTTCTGTTTGCACTGGGATGTTTGAAGATGAAATGCTAAGTAAGAAAAATTAAATAGCTCACTGAAGAAAACCACCACCTATTGCTTCTCATGTTTGCTGCCCAGTTTAAAGTAATGCATTTCCAAACAACCCTAATAAATGTTTGTGATTCCTGGGTGTCATATTACTTACCATTTTGCTGTGCTAAATGTGGATTTCTAGTTTAAACTGAGCATCCAGCTGTTTTGGAAGTTACTTCATGTTGATGACCACTTATGTGGTACCTTGAGGAGAAAAAAAAGGTAGTAAAGAAACAGTGGGAGCATGCACTGTGCATGAAGGAGAATTGGGAAAAATTAAGTCCTTCTGTCTGTCTGTAACTGCACTGTTAGGATTAATTACTAGTGGGGCAAAAATCTGGTTTGCTGTAAACAAGGATTATTTCTGAGAAAAAAATTGCTGTAATGAAACTAGACTGTATTTGTGCTGTGTTTCTGTCCTCTTTATGATGAATAAACTTTTCTTCATGATGTACAACACTGGAGCCCTGATCCTGGTTCTCCAGGATGTCTGTATTCATGTACAACAAAATAGTGCATAGATAGAAATATCTTCCAACATCTGGTGCAGTAAAACTATGCAGGGACTTATAAGCCTGACCTGAAACTGCTATGCGTTTTATTAATGTGTATCAGTTAACATTTTTGTGATAATATTAAGATGCATGAGGGGAAGGCCCTGCTGCTCTTAATGCCTTCTAGTTCTGCTCTTGGCTTCCTGCGCCTCGTTGCTGATGCGCTGGGCAGGACTCGTTCAGTCATGCCGACACAGGTTTGACTGTTTCAAGAGACTTTGCTCCTCCAGTTATTTATTCACTTGGCAAAGTATTTTCCCCAGGGCTCGTTTTTACTCTTGCTCAGCTGTGTGAGCAGTCTCTCTGCAGCCATGCCTCACCCTGGAGACAAACGCTAGAGGCAGGCTTCCCTGTATTGGGAAGATCTGGCTTTCCACAATCTGGCAGAGTTTCTGCTCTGAATGGTGGGCGTGTTTTCCTTTTTGGAGGATGGAAAGATTTGGCCAGTGTAGCTTTTGGAAGCAGAATAGTTATTTCACAAGGTCACTTATTGTGAAATAACTGTCCATGGCTGGATTACAGCAATAGCAGTGATGGTCTTTTTTTCTGGCATGGGTAAGAGCCTTAAAGAGGTAAGGAGAATATGAGAAGCTACTAGAGGTTGGTGGTAGCACCCCAAGGGAGAGACTCCAGGCCTCTGAGGTTGGTGAAGGTGGTCAATTTGGGTGCTGTCAGCTAGGTGTAGTGCATGTGTCTGGAGCAGGTTCTAGCTTAGTCTTCAGTGCTGCAGAAACTGGTGTTTTACCATTTTATGGTTGGTCGTGGGAGGAAATACCTAGAAATTGTCGTGGTGAGTGCTGCAAGAAAGTCTGGTGGAAGCAAGAAAGTCTGGTGGAAGGATCAAATCTGTCCATCTTCAGGCTAGGAGAACAGTTTAGGAGCTGGGATGGCACTTGTCATTATGCTGTTGCATTGATCATTCATCCAGAGCATTTGTGGCCCTTTTTTACAGACAGCAATATAGTGAAGTAGAACGTAAACCCTGCATGAAGGAAGATTTTCCTTGCTCTGAATTAGTAATACTGTGTAAGACTTGCTTGTGTTGTGAAATGAATTATGAATGCAAGTGGGTGCAGCGCAGCTTGAGAGCTTTGTGACATTTCGTAGCACCTTTACTTCTCCTTGGACGTTCCCTCTTTCCATCTTGATGGTGGGTTCATTGCTGAAATGGCTGGTGAGGTCGTTGAAGACTTGTCTAAAGTTGTATTGGCTCATCTGAAATTGCTTTGGAGTCCTGTTACTTAAGCTTATTCAGACCACTCTCTAAATACTGGCGTGTACCAAATTTACGGAAATTAATCTGCATACTTGTTTAGCACATGGCTATCCCTACTGGTATTTAGTGATGCAAACTAAAATTGGAAGAAATAATTTCTGCTGAGAAAAGTATGTTTTGGAGAAAATGGTGTCAGTTTGTCTTTTCTAGATGTTAAAAAGTATTTAAAGTAATGTCCTTTGGGAAAAAAAGCAGAAGGTTTTACTGCATAGCGAGATAATGTGGTGAGGAAAAATGGTAATTGAATTATCTAGCTTAAAGAAACTATCTGCAAGTTGTATTTTTTTAATTTGGAAAAAAATTGTTGATTTGTTGACCTCCAGCAAGGTTTAATGTAAACATCCAAAGAAATGGTTTCAGCCCTCAAGAAAACTGGCTGTCAAAAGTAAGCAGAATATAAATGGACACAGTGACTTTTGGTGCTAAAACAATAGTCAGATGTTAGTTGTTTTGTGCATTAGCATGAGGTGCACCCTTACCAGAAATGCCTATTTAAATTTTTTTTTTTTTTTTAAATTCTGCTGCTGGGAAGCTTTACCTAAATATTAACTTCCTGCTTGGATTTTAAAAATACATTGGGACTATATGCAAAATTATCTGTCAACCTGTGGTAGAAATTTTTTTTCATGGGAAAAATTTCTCCAGCCAATGCCGAAGTTAACAAATTACCACAAAAATGGTAAATTCTCCTTTTCAGAAAATGAAGGGATGCCTTACCAGGAGATGCACAAGGCTACTGCAAATAGACCTGTTACTGGATGACATTGTTTGGCTGTGTTCTGCAGATCTCTGTCTGTATGATTTTGCAAGGTCCCTCCGGGCCAGCTTCATCATATCTGTTGCCAACAGCTCTGCCCGCCTCCCTGGCTCCTCTCTTGGGAGGTTTTGCTAGCTTAGGAGATAGCTCTGGGGAGGTGGTGTGCTTTGGAGGACTCACTGCAGACAGTGAGGTTTAGCAAACACAGAGTTTCTGCCCCAAGTCTGAGCTGGTTCTGTGCTGAAATAACCATAAGAGTTTGAAGGGATATTTAATGACCTAGTCATGGAGGTTTTTTTCCCCTAGTTCCATTGTTTAGGATAAATGAAGTGATAGTCATCTTTTTACTAGAGTACTTAATTGCCATGAATTTCCTTGGCTAGACTTCTGAAGTCAAATAAACCTGCATGTGTTTTGGAAAGCTTTAAAATAGTCCCCTAAAACAAGAAATGTTTGTCTTCAAGCAGAACTTATTAAAGGAGGTGCTGGGGGCATTGCCCAGGACGCAGGATCATGCATGTGACATGCTCAAGACCACTGCTCAGGGCAGATTTCAGTGTGGTTTCAGCTGTGGTTCAGTAACTCAAAGTGTACCATCTGGAGTCATCTACCTACTACAAGCAGGCTGTAGAGAAACATCTGTGTTCCTTGCTTTGTATATGGAGGTTGGCCAAGAGCACACGGTAGGCTCACATGCTGGTGGGGGCAGGATCATGCATGTGACATGCTCAAGACCACTGCTCAGGGCAGATTTCAGTGTGGTTTCAGCTGTGGTTCAGTAACTCAAAGTGTACCATCTGGAGTCATCTACCTACTACAAGCAGGCTGTAGAGAAACATCTGTGTTCCTTGCTTTGTATATGGAGGTTGGCCAAGAGCACACGGTAGGCTCACATGCTGGTGGGGAGCGAGGGATGCTTGAGGCTGGGTTTG